AGAGATTTGGAAAACAGCTACCTGGCCAACTGACTGGAAGAGATCCATATTTGTACCCATTCCAAAGAAAGGTGATCCCACAGATTGTGGAAATTATAGAACAATATCATTAATATCGCACACAAATAAGATCTTACTGAAGATAATTCAAAAATGGTTGCAGCAGTCTATTGACAGAGAACTTCCAGAGGTGCAAGCTGGATTCAGAAGAGGACGTGGAACAAGGGATATCATAGCTGTTGTCAGATGGTTCTTGGCTCAAGGCAAAGAATTCCAGAAAGATGTTGACTTGTGTTTTATTGACTATGCAAAGGCATTTGATTGTGTGGATCATGACAAATTATGGATAACATTGAGAAGAATGGGAATTCCCGAGCACTTGATTGTACTCATGAGGAACCTGTACCGTGACCAGGAGGCTGTCGTTTGAACGGATCAAGGGGACACTGCATGGTTTAAAATCAAGAAGGGAGCGCGTCAGGGTTGTATCCTTTCCCCATACTTATTCAATCTATATGCTGAGCAAATAATCCGAGAAGCTGGACTATATGAAGAAAAACGTGGCATCAGGATTGGAGGAAGAATCATTAACAACCTGAGATATGCAGACGATACAACTTTGCTTGCTGAAAGTGAGGATGACTTGAGGCACTTACTGATGAAGGTTGAAGAATACAGTTGGTAGTATGGATTACATCTCAATATAAAGAAAACAAAAATCCTCACAACTGGACCAATGAGCAGCATCACAGTAAATGGAGAGAAGATTGAGGTTATCAAAGAATTCACATTGCTTGGTTCTACAATCTATGCCAATGGAAGCAGCACTCAGGACATTAGACAACGTGTAGCATTGGGAAGGTCAACCACGAAGGAACTGTTTCAAGTGCTGAGGAGCACGGATGTCTCCTTGAGGACTAAGGTGCACCTGACACAAGCCATGGTATTTCCAGTCACCTCCTATGCATGTGAGAGCTGGACAGTGAATAAGGAAGACCAAAGAAGAGTTGATGCTTTTGAGTTGTGGTGCTGGCGAAGAATGCTGAAATTACCATGGTCTGCTAAAAGAACTAACAGATCTGTCCTAGAGGAAGTGCACCTGAAATGCTCCTTGGAAGCGAGAATGGCCAGACGTCGTCTCACCTATTTTGGTCATGTTGTCAAAAGGGACCATTCCCTGGAGAAGGATGTCATGCTTGGTAGGGTGGAGGGTCTAGGAAAGAGGGGGAGGCCTTCAACGGGATGGATTGACACAGTGGCTGTGATGATGGGCTCAAATATAGCAGGGATCATGGAGCTGGCGCGGGATTGGGCAGTGTTTTGTTCTGCTATGCATGGGGTCACTATGAGTCGGAAACTACTCAACGGCACCTAACAACAACAACAACAAAAACCTGATCTCCTTGCCTGTCTACCTAGGTATCCACCCATAGGTTAGTAAATAGACACTTTTCTGTACAGCTATCGGGTGTCAGGCACCATCTCTAGACATCAGGAATAAAGGCATATGAGAATTGGAACTTGCCTTCAATGAAGTCACAATAGTATAAAGAAAGGACAAATCATTATAAATGATGCGATAAATGCAGTTATAGACATATGGATAAAGTAGATACTGATGGGAGAGCAGGAGGTCAGAGAAGGTTCCTGAAGATGACACAGGCTAAATCTTAAAGGGAGGGGACAAGTAAAGAAAGGGAGTTGACAACATGAACACCATCACAGATTGAGAAATAGCAGTCTCCACAGGATTTGATAGGGAATATAAAGGTAGAAGAGGATTGCGAGAAATGGGGCTGAGAACGTTAACAGGAGCTGGATCATGGAGGACCTCATGTGCCAGTTTAAGGAGCTTGAATTTCACCCTCTAAATTACAAGTAGCCTTTCAAGATTTTTAAACAGACATGGCCTGGTCATAGTAGCATTTTAGAATGCTTGTTCCAGAAACTTTATGAACAATTTAATAGGAACAGGGCTGGAGCCAGCAAGAGGGCCTGTCTGATAATAGTCTGGCCCAATAATCTAGAAGAGTGATAAGGGTCTAAACCAAGAGCATTGAGATCGAGAAGACTTATGGGTGTGCCAGACCTGGCTCTCACCAGAAGAGCCACTTATTAAATTTTCAAGGATTTTGGAGCCAAGTGATGTCAGGTTGGTAGAAGTTGGTTCTGCTGAGAGCATATTCATCATGGAAATTGGCAAACACTACAAATCAGGCCTTTTACGTTTGGAGAGCTTGTTAAACATTTACCAGTGTACCACTGGAGAAGTGACTGAAAATATGCAGTAGATAAATTTGGCAGCACTTGTAGCTTACCAGATGAAAAGGATGAAAGAATCCAGAATATGGTCCAGATGTCTCTAGTATCAGTGATTCACTGAATACTTGTCCTATGAACTGGAGATAGAGAATACAAGAGAAGGAACCATTTTAGTCTAAGAAACAATACATCAAATTTACGTGTAGATAAACGAGGACATAAAATACTGAAAGAGTTAATATTCAAAGCCATTTCTAAGTAAAAATAGTTCATTTCTTCCTACAGACCCCTATTCAGGTAATATCTACTGTTTTGGTTACCTAGTACTGCTCTGGCAAGAGTATATAATACCACAAATGGGATGGCTTGATTTATATGTGCCAGGTATTGACTTGTGTGTGCCAGATTAGCAAAATCCCACCCCTGTGGATCTTATTTTCTCCTTGGGGTGGTGGAGGAGAGAGACAGGTAGAGTAGGTATGATATATAGACCTGGTCGTGGGACCATTAGTCCCTGCCCAGCTACATGCAAGTCATGTGTGCACCTGAGCCAGTAAATGACTTTAAGAGGCCCAGTTCCCTCTCTTAGCAAGTGAGGGTACTTATACTTCTCCTTTCTTACTAAGAAGATAAAAATATGTTTCCAAAAACGTTTAGAAAAGTCCCTAAAATAAGAATAGAAAAAAGCTTCATGTTTCACTTCTAATTAACAAAGGTATTTTCTTCCTAATTTGTCAAAGAATAAGCTATATAGGTTTTTGGTTTTTGGTTTTCCCTTAAATGGTATTTGTTTTGTTTTGGTGTTAGATGTTTGTATGGAAAATCTTAAATGAAACTATCTAGGTAACAGTTTATCTTCTCTATTTCTGATTATAATCATCCTATTATGTACAGTGGGATAAATTTGGTTTTAATAAAGTCAAAGTTAATCACACTAGTCAGCAAGATGCTACTTCATCAGTTTTTCTTTAGAACAAACATTTTTATTGTAACTTTAAATGTATTACTCAACTATGTGGACTTCATTTTTAAAGTTAGTTTCTTAAATATACTTAAAACTTTTATTTATGGTGATGGCCCTCAGAATGTTAGTCCACAGGGCTTTTGGAATATTGCACAGAAATTTTCTACTGTGAATCTGCTGCTGCTGTCCTGAGGCAGCATGGTATAGTGGTTAAGAGCATGGATTCTCTGTTGTTGTTGTTATATGCAGAGGTAGGCTTTTTGGGTTCAAGTCCTAGCTCTAGCACTTAATAGCTTTCCAATCCTGTGTCAATTACTTAAGCCTCTATTTCTTGGTTACTTAATCTATAAAACGAAGATATTAATAATACTTATTTTTTAAGATTGTTGTATGAATTAAGTGATTTAATACATGAGCATGGAACAGTATATAACAGTTTTTAAGCACTTAATAAATACTAGTTGTTAATTTTATTCCATCGCAAAATTTGTCCTCCTAACCTAGATGTATTTTACTAATAGTGTTTATTTATTTATCAATCCATTCATTCATTTACTTATTTATTTTACCAATGATATTTATTTCCTTGAAACTGAACTTTCTGAGATAGGAAAGCACTTTTACAGACTTTATATAGAGAGAAGGCTAATCAGGTCTGCCTTTTACATTTCTGTGTATGTTGGGATTTTTCCCTCCTGCATTCTGCACCATTGTCATAGAATTAATAGATGAAGATTTAAATGCCCACTTTATTGTTGGTAAAACTGGATTAGAAAGCATACTCCGTTTTCCTAATACTTTTTTCTTAAATCTAGATCTTGTGACAACCTGTCTTGGAGAGTCCTTGGGTCTGTATAGGGAGCAGACCCATTTGTCCAGAATTGTGTCCTATAGACATGACCAGGCCCCAAAGGAGCAGGGAGAGAAATGGGCTTCCAGACCTGCCCCTGGAACGCATGCCTGAGACCTAGCTTCTCTGTACTTAGCACATTAGGACAGGAACGTAGCACAGCGTACAGTCACCCTGAGAAGATAATAAAAATGGAGCACTCACCTGGCCAGGGAGCTCTGGTAGCATAGTGGCTAAGACATTTGCCTGCTAACCAGACGGCTGGCGGTTCAAACCCACCAGCTACTCCTCGGAAGGAAGGTTGGGCAATCCTACTTCCGTAGTGATACTGCCTCGGAAACCCAAGGAGGGGTCACTATGAGTCGGGGCCGACTCGACGGCACATAACAACAACACAACAACCTGGCCAAGAGCAGCCTGCTTGGTTCCTTCTCCCAGCCTCACTCAGATATCTCATTCACATTCTCTCAGGAGGGTTGAGATAAGTACATGTGGAAAAGAAAGAAGTGTTTCCACCTTACTTTTTCCCCCCTTTGGAAAGGGGAATAAATGTTACCCTAGCAATGTAGTTAATAATTTTACTTTATCTTTTTAGATGCTAAAATGAAGAATTTTCAATTGCAGAATGGGATCTTTTGATGGAGTGTCTATCTGTCTGTTCTTTTAAAGTCATCTATCAGAGGTCTTGTGGATAGTTCATAAAATGGGTGCCATGGCATGAGGAGATCTCTTTGTCTAACCTACCTTTAAAATATTTTCCCTAGTTCTCTATAAGAACATTGTAATGGGTTTATCGATAGCTTTATTTTTCCCTCTAAAAATATCCAAGCCTGAAAATATCTTCACAGATTATGAATCATTTCATACTGGTAAAAGAAAAATAAAAGATTTCTTTGTGTTTTGTTTTTTCTTTTTAATTAACAGCTTGCAGTTGCAAACAACAGGATTATTACCTTGCAAGAAGAAATGGAACGAGTTAAAGAGGAAAGCTCATACATATTGGAATCCAATCGGAAGGTTAATATTATTCTATGTATAAAATATTCATGGAACATATCAATGTGTCAGTAGTAGGGGGTGTGTCTAGAGGACTGTTTTTGAAGCAGCAGACTTTTGACTATATCAAACTCAGTGTTTTTACTTAAACTCCATTTGTATATGAGTGAATGATGAAAGTTTTGAAAGGGTGATGTCCCTCTACAAGATGTTCCTTGGCTTCACTGCTGCCTGTGTCTATTTAGAGACTTTAAGAAACAATCTACTCAGTGTCTTATTTTTATGTACTAATGATTTTTTTAAAATGCATTTTATTGAAATAGGATTTATGTACAGTAAAATACACAAAACTAAAGTGACATGGATCAATGTGAATTTTGTTTTTATTTTTGTTTTGCAGTGTTCCCTCCCCTTCCACTCCTGGTAACCAACAAAGAAAGTTTCCCTCCAAATATAAACCTTTCCTTGACCCTCCACAACAACAAACTAATACTATATTTGTCCTTCTGTGATTGACTTATGTTACTCAGCATAATGTCCTTGAAGTTCATCCATATTATGTGGTGTTTTGCAGACTCTACATTATTCTTTAGTGCTGCATAGCATTCCATTTTGTGTATATACCATAGTTAGGTCATCCATTCTTTGGCTATAAATCTTAGAGATAAGTCCCTTGCCAGATATGTAATTATCAACAAACAGGAATTTGTTGCTGTCATTTTTGTTATGTGCTTTTTTGTGGTGTTGATTTCTTTGTTCCATATAATTTTCTATGCTGAGCAGTTTTGTTCACGAATCATGTTATCCCTTCCTTCATTGCTATTGTTTTAGTATTTGCTGAATATTTATGCTGATCCTCTTTTTTGGTGTGAAGGTTTATCATTTTTCTTTGAGGTTATCTGTGATTTATAGTTTTCTTCCCAAGTTTAGAACAGTCTGTTCTGTCTTATAGTTGTCTTGACTTCCTTACCATCTAGAAATTCTGTAATGGCACAGTTTTTTCCCTCTTTTTGATTTGTAGTTGTCCTCATTTGTCAATTGATGTCTCTAGTTCCCTGTTTACAATCTTGTAGGCTTATTTACTTTGGATACTTCCATGGCTGGGTTGGTTTCTGGCTTACATCATCGTGTGTGTTAATGGTCACTTGTTGTTGGCTGTTGTTGCTTCTCTGTCCAAAGGGCTACCTTTAGCATCTCTTGTAAGGTTGGTCTGGTTTTAACAAATTCCCTTAATTTCTGTTTATCTGGAAATGTTCTAATTTCACCATCATATTTGAGGGACAGTTTTGCTGGGTACATAATTCTTGGTTGGAAATTTTTCTCTTTCCATGTTTTATATATACCCTCTCATTGTCTTCTCACCTACATGGTTTCTGCCGAGAAATCCAAGCTTAGTCTTATTAGTTGCCCTTTGGAGGTAACTTTTTGTTTTTCCCATGCTGCTGTCATGATTCTTTCTTTGTCTTTGGTTTTGGTAAGTTTGACGATGATATGTCTTGGTGTTTTTTGGGGGGTCTCTGGTAGCATAGTGCCTAAGGCACTTGACTGCTAACCAGAAGGCTGGCGGTTCAAACCCACCAGCTACTCCTCAGAGGGAAGGTTGGGCAATCCTACTTCCGTAGTGATACTGCCTCGGAAACCCAAGGAGGGGTCGCTATGAGTCGGGGCCAACTCGACGGCATATAACAACAACAACAACAACATCCTGTTTGGGGTTCGTTGGACTTCCTGAATGGATATATCCTCATCTTTCATCATACCTGGTAAATTCTCTTCCAACAAATCTTGGACAATTTTCTCAGTGGTTTTGTTTTTCTCTTCCTGTTCTGGAATTCCGATTACATGTAGGTCATTCCTTTTGATGATATCCCACATGAATCTTAGGCTTTCTTCATTTTGTTTTGATCTTTTTTCTGACTGATCCCTTTCCAAGAAGTGTTCAGGTACTTGCCTTCAATCTCACTAATTCTGTCTTCCATTGATTCAGTTCTGCTCCTTTCCCCATTCAATGTATTATCTATTTCTGAAAAATTTATTATTAATCTTCTGGATTTCTGTGTGTAGATTTTGTATCATTTTTAATTTTTAATTTATTTTGTCATTTTGTTCTTGTATTGTCTTTTGAAATTGTTCTAGGGTTTTTCTGTATTTTCCTTGATCTGTCTCTCAATTCACTGAAGATACCTAAGTATAATTCTTCTGAATTCTTATCAGGGAGTTCCAATGCTGCATCTTCCTCAAGGATGTGTTTTGGGTCTGTATCCTGGTCCTTTGTTTCTCCTGCTTTATCTTGCTTCTTTGTGTGGACTGTGATGCTCTGTTGTCTCCGAGGCATTGTGACATTTTTGTATTTATATTTAATTGGTGATTGTATGTTGGAGTGACTTGCCCATGATTTTCATTTTCTTTGTTTTCTTTGTACGTTATCTATGCAAGCAGAGTACTTACTGTGCTCCTCTATTCGGTAGTTGACAGCACTTATACATTCACCACCTGTCTCCTTACCTGTTGTCAGCCTCTCATATGTCCCTGCCAACCTTGGCAAACAGAGCCCATTCTTAGGTCCCTGGAAACCAAATGAGAATGCTATGACTTTAAAATCCAAAATGGTTGTCACTTGTAAAGATTCAAAATGGCTGTGCCCTCTGTCACTTTAAATATCCAAAATGGCCACCGCTTATAAATATCCAAAATGGCTTTGCCCTCAGTCACTTTAAATATCCATATTGGCTGCACCCTCCAGACAGTGGAAAGTCAACAGCTCAGGTTGTCTCCCTCCTTGCTGTTTCCCTTCCTAGTCATAGGCCACCAGCGCAGTCGTCCCTGTAGCCCTTGTTGACCAGGGTTGATCTGTAGGTCAATTCTCAGGTCCCAACACCGCCTGGAAATATTCAGGCTGTTGGTCCGGTCAGAGCAGCTGACAGTCTGCAGCTCCAACCATCTCTGTACTCAGAGTTTTCATTCAGGTTTTTCCACTAGTTGGTGCCTAATCCACTTCTGCATAGTTCTTTCAAAGCTCTGGGCTCCAGGATTATCTTCTGTATCTCTGTTAATTGGTTTTTCTTTTCTTTGTTGAAGAGGGTTTATATCACTTGTCTGCCTATTCCTCCATCTTACTGGAAGTCCATGGGAATTTTTATGTACTAATGATTTTTACTGTGTTCAAATGTTACATTTGTTATATTAAATATGCCATCATTTTTAGATCATGTAGGTTTGTGTTTAAGTGATACCTTATTCATATGATATCACTGGAAGTTACTATATAAATGAAATTTTAGATAACTCAGTGTCTTAAATCACCAAATTTTTTTTTTTATTTTATTTTATTTATTGTGATTTGGGTGAATATTTACAGAGCAAATTCACTTTCCATACAGCAATTCACATATACTTTGTCTCATGTCATTGAAAATCACCAAATTTTTTATAAACATCGAACCTTCTTAAGTAGAGTGCATCAGTTAGCACAGATAGCCCTTAGGATGACTGAAGATCATAATTACCAGTATTAGCAACCCTATGCTAAGTAACAACAGTGCTACAAGCATACCTCAGACATAGTGTGTGTTTGGTTACAGACAACTGCAAATAATGTAATAAAGCGAGTCACACAAAGTTTTTGATTTCCCAGTGCATATAAAAGTTATGTTTACATTATACAGTAGTCTATTAAGTGTGCGATAACAGAAAAATGTTTGAGATGTTGTGAGAATCACCAAAATGTGACCAAAACAGGAAGTGAGCATATGCTATTGGAAAAATGGCACCAATAGACATGCTAGACGCGGGGTTGCCACAGGCCTTCACTTTTCTAAAAAACGTACTTATCTGTGAAGTGCAATAAAACGAAGCCCAGTAAGACAAGCTATGACTGTACTTTTTAAACTAATAGAGCTTCCAGCACCTATGTGTCTATATTCCCAGATGGCTGTAGTTGACATTATGTTTCTTTTTCTGCCTTTTATAATTTCACTGACATCTCTTACTTCTGGTTAATGCTGGTGTTTCTATCTGCAAGAAGATATCCTCACTCCTTTTTATCATCATACTTCTACTGCGGCCTAGGAATCCAATTACCTACAGTTACAAAACTGTTCCTAAAGTAAGATTAATAGGCTATGAGTGGGGACTAAAGTAATTTTATGTGAGTAAAGTATTTGACTTTAATGCGTCAACTTTGTAAACATAACTATGCCTGCTTACAGAAGTTTTTCCTTATTACGTCTCATTTTTGTGCTGTGATCTCTCTGGGTTAGAGCAGGTATGTAATCTCTAGAGAAGGAATGTTTTATCACTTGAACCTTTGACCCAATTTGTATTTTACAGTGAATGCTATTTTGTTTTTGAGGCTGGTTTTTAAAACTTCTCCCTCCTGTTTTGGTAACTTGTCTTGGGATTTTAAACAGAATGGTAAAAAAAAAATAAAAATAAAAAATCCCTAATTCAGCTAAAGAATTTATTTAAATTTACTAGCCTTCTTTAATTTCCTATTCTTCTTTTATTATCATACCTGCTTAGGTATGATCATGTTTCTTTACTGCATAGCAGTACTAGTGTAAGCTAACTCTATATAGGTTTTTTAAATCCTTAAATATGTGCTATTTTGTTTTTGTTTTTTTATCTTTTCAAGGGTCCTAAGCAAGAGAAAACTTCAGAGGGGCAAGCACTGAGTGAAGCAAGAAAGCATTTAAAGGAGGAGACACAGTTACGACTGGTAATTTGCTCAAGTTTAATTAGTTTAGGAACAGATTAAAAGTGAACAACCTTAGTTTTACAAACTAAGGTTAATAATACCAGTATTGCTTTAAAAAAGTTTTATGACCCCTATAAAACTTTCACACTCTTTTTAACCCATAGTCCCCGTACTGCTTTTTTCTCTCCATTTTCTATGTATTCCATACAACCAGTAAGATTTTGCCAATCTTTATTGTTTTGCTTTCGTGGTTTGCATTACAAGAACATTAGGTATATAGAACCTACTTCCTAAACTGTGCAATCCCCACTCCTACCTCATTCCTCACTCCTGCAAATATTCTGGTACGTTTACTTGGAAGGAGCGGGCTACTCTTCCTTTTTCTAAGAATCATTAATGTGGGATTGTACTTTGTTATATTTAGCTGTTTATTCTGATTTTATTCTTGTTCCTAGACATAATAGAAAAATGTATTATCCAGTATTGGGTTTTTTTTTGTGTGTGTGTGTGTGTATATATATATATATATATTTTTTTTTTTTTA